AGCGAGTGAGCAAACCAGCGACTAGGCAGAACAGTAATCATGGATCCCAAATGAAAGCAAAATATTGCTGCTGCGGTTTACAACTCGTTTCTTTTCTGTCTCTTTAGAAGCTGCACTGATGTCTTATGTTGTTTGATCTTCATCATTGTCATCCTCTCATATGTGGCCCTGGGGATAGTGGGTGAGTCTACGCACACACACACACACAGTTCCCTCTTTGATCAGACTTTTGTAGTGCATTCTCTTGTGGATTTCTAAACACATACAATCTTTGTTGTTTCCTCTTGGTCTCTCTAACTTTTAGCCACACACACCATGATAATATGACTGCATTCACATGCACTTAAAGATTAGCTCCCTATTTATACTCTTAGAAATGAATCAAAGTCTTAGTCAAAGTTCTCACAGTAACTAACTTTCAGTTCCACACTGCAAACACTGAGTTGCAGCTGGACACACACAGAGAATCACCTCAGCTTTCCAGAATTCATTGGTTTACTCATCCATGAAACTCTTCAATAGGGTTTTGCCTGAGTGTGTCCCATAGGTGCTTATAACTGTAATTCTTCATGATAGGCAAGTAAAAAGTCTGTACTTTCTCACCAAAATTATTTTAGGACACTACAAGGTCCCTTAATATCATCCTGTTTGAATTTGACAGTATTATAAAGCTGCACAAAAGTCTCCTTTCCATTACTCGGTTTTGGCCCGCCGTCCTCCGTTTTCCATTTCCATTGCAGATAGTACCCCTCAATGTAGCTGGTCGTCATAGCACACACAACCCACACACAACCGCCAGCTCTTTATTTAAGTTAAAACGTTTCAACATTACTCAGAATGTAAAGACAGAATAGCGGTACGAAAATCTTACAGCTGTGTTTTCCTCTGCTGTTGTTGCTGGAGTCTCTGCTGCGTTGGCTGTAGTGGTCTGTGTGACTGTGGGACCAGAGGGCTCTGTGAGCGGCTAGCCGGCCTCACGAGCTGCTTCCACCGGTTGGCACGAGCTTCGCCCACCGCCACTTTTCGTAAAACTGTCACTATTTGAAATCTACACAGTTGATTTCTCACCTCGGAACTTCTCAGAAGTGTATTTAGTGATGAACGAAAATTGTACAATATAAAACTTTATGTTGCTGGCCTCTGTCAGGCACGCACAAGGATGATGCAGTGAATTCTGACGATTCTCTCTGACCAATCAGCGGTCTGCAGGGTTTTTCACATCACACAGAAACTAGGCCTACCAGGCAGCAGGTACAAGTACAACTTTTCCTTGATGGAAAACCATAAAAGGCGAGTAGAGTCGACGCAAGTTGAGCCGATACCATGCGGTGGAAAAGGGCCGGAATTTGATGACAAAACAATTTCATCCATTTCCATCACATCACATGATCTTCGTCGGTAGATAGAGTTTGCCCTGTTGTCATAGAATTGCAGATATTAAAATTTCCATTTATTAGGTGCAACTTGAGGAATTCTCATCCATGTTGTTTTCAGAGTTCATTCTTTACCTTGGAAACAAACAATAGTTGACTAAAACAATCTCACTTTACGGTCCACATGGTAGTTGTTCTGGAGCTTTCATAGACTTCATCAGATTCTAAGCCATTGTGGATCAAAAGTCATTTATGTATCAATTAATGGTAGCGGACCTTCTGTTGTTGTTCATGTCCGCTGATAGCCAAAACTAAAGAAGGAGTGGAGAACGAGGGAGAGAAGCGTTCTTTCCAGATCTGTAAGTAGCTGCTGCCATTATTGTGTCACAATCTAAGATGCAAACAACATTATCATCTAGGCGTACATCATATGAGGAGCATATATTCGTGCAGCACCTCCTCGCTCACTCGCTCCCTCTTTGTCTCTGCACAAACCTGTCCAAAGTTAGAATAACACTAGTTGACTATGGTGGTATGGCGAGCGTGTCAATTAGACGTCTATCCGCGCAACCCTCAGTGGCTTTAACTGTAGATTTAGCCGCTACTCCATTTACAGTGGGAATCACTGCTTTCCCTGATATATTTCCTCTCTGTATGTGCCTCGATCTCATTGATTGTGTGAGTGGATAGTGGTTTGGAAGAGGAGAGAATAAAAGAGAGAGATTGGGAAAGGAGACAGGAGAGAAAGAAAGAGAGGAAGGGAGAGACAGCACGCCACTGGGAGGCTTTCTGAGTTTCTTTCCTGAGAGATAGAGACCGAGCCTTTACAGAAGATAATAAGAGAGCAATACAAATCTCTTTGTTGCCAAAGCTGATTGATATTTTCAGGGTCTCCTGAAGTCACAGCAGGAAGTCGAGGAGGAAGCTGAATTAAAGCATTTGATGTGAGAGCTGGAAGAAAAGGGATGTTTCATGTCGAGTGTACAGCTCCATACGAAACCGTCCAATTTCTACTTCAAGCCCAGTTTTTGCTTCACGAGCTGAGACACTAAAACTCTGATACTGTTCAGCCACTTTAAGAGCTGCAGATGCTTCTGCTATCCAACGGGTAGATCTTGAAATTCAAAGCCTTAAAAAGTCTAGGATAAGGTTCAGTTAAGCTTTTGCCTTGGTCACTGATCCATTCTGGATTTTTGAGGCTGATATTTGAAAGTTAAATAAACAGATAATGGTCAGTAGTGGACAAACTATGTAAAGATAACGGTCTAAATTTTACTTCAAACATTTGACATGAACACAATGCAGATTTTTCACTTGTCATGGAGATAGCTTAGCGTCCATTACATGGAACAGGATGTCAAATAGGCCTACCTACACTTTGTCATGTCCTTCGGCATCTGTTACCGCACATGGCAGCCTTTAACGTCATAGTTCAATGTACTGGGGGAACCCTTCTAGCGTCATTGTTCAATACTAAAAGTAAGCTTAGTATAAATTACAGAAAAGTCAGAGTGAGGAGGTGGTTGGGATGGATGGGCACTCAAAAAACAGACATTTTACTCCAGGAGACAAATGTTCGTTTCCAGCGTAAAATAAAAAGTCAACCCTGATTGTTTTTAGTCATGTTACGTGAGTAACGTTATTTAAGTAACAGTTATTTTAACCAAAACCATGAACTTTTTCCTAAATCTAACCAAGTACCTTTGTTGCCTATTGCTAACCAAAACGCAACACTTCACAAAGTTAACCACTAGTTTATAATCAAGACCGTTTTATTAAAGTTTTTCCAGAGTACCAAATGTGAAAAGCTGAATGGTCATCACAGAAATATGAAATGAACATGGGTATATATCAACACTAACTAGTGCCCAGGGAGACATGACCTGAAATAGAAAATGAAAAGAACAGTGACAGGGGGGGAAAAAAGAGTAAAAAAGGTGTTAGCTGAGTTTCCTGTACAACCACGGAAGGTAGCATTGAACTATCTTGGTACAATGCATCATGACTAATATCTGAAGTACAACAGTTTCCCAAAACTTTCACCGTGGTTTGAGCTAACCAACATACTGTAGTTTTGAACTAACATGTTTCAAGGTGTGTTCGTCTGACTTTCACAGCACAAAACTCACAAAACGTTGTCATATTCTGATATTAAGTGACATTATTATGCTAACTTATTATTTAGGCTTTTCATATTATAGTTGTACTGGCAGTAACAAGAAAATCTAAATAATATATAACCTAATCATTTAATTTAGCCTAAATATAGGTTATAGCTTTTTTTTATAGCAATAGCAACATTTTCATAGATACAATGAAGAACTATTAGCGATTACAAGACATTTAGTAAAATAGGTTTAATCTGCAAGTATCTTCAGTTCAACACTTTAACACTATTATGAATCCCTTGGCCGCAAATGATTTCTTGAAATCTTGAGAATAGCTCAGTGTGATAAGTGGCTGAGCAGAGAAATGTTTTCTACTGAGATAGACACGGGTTCAAATCCTGTGAGTTCTTTAATGAATTTTATGCTATCCCTTTTTATATTTATGTTTGTAATGAAGACTGAAGAACACCCATCTTCCTCATAGGCCTAGAAATGTATACATGAAAGTAATATTAAGATGTCTTTACATTCTCCGTTTTGTGCTTTAACCTTTGTGCTGGGTGACTGATATTAAATTAAGTTATTGTGAACAGATGGGTAATCTGTGTGAAAAACAGCTGCTGTTTGTAGATGGTCTACGTTAAGTTACTTAGTATTGAAATAATGCAACCCTACCCTTGACCTGACAAATAGATTGAAAAGTACTTTTACAGCTACATTTAAAAAAAATTCACCTTAAATTTTTCTTTTTTTTTACAGCAAACATCGAACATTCCCATTAAAACACATTAAAACACATTACATCCACCTCCTAAAGCTGCGTTCACACCAAAAGCTAAATAAACGGATCAAACTGATGCCGAAATAACTACAATATTCCGTTTTGTTAGACATATGAATTCATACTTTTTCAGGTCTGTCAGCAGGACGACAACTTTTAAAATACGTGTTTTCTGAATGGAGCTCGGATGGATCATGGGTGTGCTATGCTAAACTGTTCACAGTAAAGTACAACGACAGACACAGATTTTCTAAACTCACCAGGTAGTTCAACTTCCTCGCTTTGTTTTCTCCAAGTAATATCCAGCTTTGTCCGGTTTTTATATAAAAATGAGGTAGTAGTCCAGCAGAACTCTGGTGCCATCAACAACAACAGTGGAACCGGATGTGCACGGAAGCTAGCTTCCAAGATGCACGAGTGAAGATAAATCAAGTTGTAATTCCAAAAACTAAAGTAAAAAGCTAATTTAATAAAACCAGTTAACTCGACTCTGACAACGGCATAGTTGTCAGAGTAGAACCAGTCGCTTAACGATGCTTCATACCATGTAAGTTACCAACGTAGTTACCTCCATAGTTCGAACTAGGATTTTGGGAAACAGTTGTGTCACAACTGTATAGTTCCAACCAAGGAAGTTGCTAACGTAGTTAGCAACGTTGCTCTTTGGAAACGCACCCCAGGAGAACAGTTCCTGAACTCCTGAATTGCTTCACTTAGACGCTGAACAATTCAGTACTTTCACAAGTTTCACAAAGCCTTTGTCCCCACACAACAGAAATATAGTATTTTTATCAAGTCTTTGGCACAGTCAGAAACGTTATCTTTCATCATCATTTTACCTGAAGGCAGTTTTAATGTAAGAATCTCCTGAAGCTCTAGCTGCAGTCTCCTGTTCCTGTGTTCTCAAACAGCAGGCAGAGCTTCTAAGTATGAGATCATCACTGTCCCAACTCTCACTCTCTTATTCCCATTTACTTGTACATGTATCTCACCCGAGGGTTAGATCATTGGGAGCTTTCAAATGCTGATTTCCTTTTTTGTCTTTTATGTAAGATGTGCAAAAATGTCCAAACTATTCAGTATTTCTCCTGAATTTGCATTCCTTTCAGAATAGAAAGTATCTGAAACTCTGATTTACAGAACTAATGACATACAGTATATTCTACCACCTTTTTATTCATTCCTACATGCAAAAAGATTTAAAAGGCTGCTAGAACCAGAATTGTCTAGTGCAACTTATCTGCCACTACCATCTATCCTGGCTCCACTATTGCCGAATAGGCTTCTGCAAATATTGTTCTCATCTACTGCTATTTGGACAGCAAGTGCTATTCCTACTACCACATCATGGTACGGACGGTTTTTTTAGGGTTAAGACGTGGTTTTAGGGTTCAGGTTACAATGGCATTAAGTTTAGAATTAGGGGAAGGGTTAAGGTTAGGCAGGTAGTTGTTATGGTTAAGGTTAGGGTAAGGGGCTAGAGAATTCATTATGTCAATGAGATGTCCCCACAGGGATAGAGGGACGAACTTGTGTGTTTGTGTGCGTGTTGTGTGTGTGGTGTGTGTGTGTGTGTGTGTGTGTGTGTTGCCTCATATCTTAGTATGAGCTCATTCCCAAAGAGCAGTATGGAGCAGACATGGTTAATGGAGTTCTGAGTGAGTGGCTCAGAGAAAGGGTCCACTGGTGTGTGTGGGTGTGGGTGTGTGTGTGTGTGTGTGTGTGTGTGTGTGTGTGTGTGTGTATGTGTGTGTGTGTGTGTGTGTGTGTGTATGTGTGTTTCTGAGGGCTACTGGTGACATCAGCCTATAAAGACATGAATCCACTAATCCTACTTTACACACAGACTACTTACCACACTAGCCTACATTTCTACACACGCACACACACACACACACACACACACACACACACACACATTCTCCACTGTATGTGATTATATGGGTTAACGCATAAAGAGCATGGACACAGACGTAACTACATAGTCATACACACTCACAGGCGCACACTTACTTACAAGAGGGTTGTTTCCTAAATCACTCCACTCCAGCTCTTTTACTACCAAACACGGATGACATCATTCCTAATGACATCACCCTCACTCTCTCAAGCACCCCCCCTCCCCCCGTCTGCACCTTGTACTGAGCCCCCATCTGTCTTTTGTCTAACCCCTTCCTTCCTTTCATCACTGCCAAACGCACACACACACGAAGTATAAACACAATCTCTTCACTCTTACCATTGTCATTAATTACATCACCCAATTTACTGAACTGTGCATTTATAAATGTTTTAAAGCTGACCATATTTACTAGTTTTACAGAGGCAGGTCAACACTTTTCCACTCAACAAATCCACATTTCCGTCCTAATTCCTTTGTGCAGAAAGGCTTGTCTGTTTCAACATGTTTATTGACATATTTATATATATATATTAGGATACAATTAGGATACATTAGGATACAAATTCCTTTCCAAAAATATGACAATAGAGAATTTGAAACTGTAGGTGCGAAGCATAGGAGCAAATTACTACAACGCATGAAGGAGAAAGGTAACCTATCTCTTTAGAAGCACTCAGTTTGTTTTTTAACATTGCACATTTCTCTATACGAGTCCACTTCTTTAGAACTACATCTCACCTGTGAACTGCATTAATGCGACCAAAACTCTTAATACATGTTGCAGGATTTTACATTGATTTTAGATTTCAAAACAACACACAATGTATGTTGAAATGTACTGTAGTAATGATGTACAATACTACCGTACTTAAAGGTACAGTGTGTAAGATTAGTCCAGAATTTTAGTTCTGGCAAGAAAACACACTGATACAAATGATATATTATATATGATATAAACATCTGATTCTGACAAATGATGAAATATGCATCCCATGCTTGCCAATCCTTTTGATTTCTTTCTACCTCTCTCGAGCTTTAATCCCCCCCCCCAAACACACATGATGAAATCTGCCCATCCACTACAACTATTAGAAACAGTATCAATGCTGTTTATTATTCCACATATTTGTCAGCCGTGTCTAAACAGTGACAGAGAGAAGCCCCTTACCGCAGATCATCATACAAGGTGATGGTCTTTTAAAGATCCCATATTATACAAAATCCACTTTTTTTCACAAATTTTAAAATATGCTAGTGGTCCACTCTACCGGGAGTCCTAAAAAACTGTCCACACTTTTTGACCATTATGAGTGTACCACCCAGGTACTCATGGTGCACTAAAAATTATGCCAAACTTGTCAAAGTGAACGCAATTATGCACTAAAAATAGCAAGTTTAAGGATGAAAGAGATTGAAACAAAAAACTAGTCTTGCACAGCCAGGCCTATCTCTACACTTTGATGCAGCGCTGTGCCAGCTAGGTCCTGCCCCTTTTTTGGGCTCCAGGAAGCTGGGATTGAATAGAGGTGCTGAAGCAATGGACAAAGCTTAATTCATGAGGTTATTAGAAAGATCAGCTCTTACTTTAGATGTGATTAGAAAAGATCCGAGGAGCAGAATGGCTTAGAGAGTAGCCTGGTGAAATGCTGTCTCCTATTTGTTTGGAGAATGTGGCCGGGAATTACACTTTAATTATTAGTTATTATTTGTAATTTTGTGTTTGATTATTTTATCCCACTGCAGGGTTTTGGCACTGAGGGATAGTGGAAGGTTGAAAAAAAGCAAACTTCATAATTCACACACACACACACACACACAAATACAGATTTCTCCCATGGTTACTGGAGGTCTCAGTCCTAGGCCTAATTCTAGTCTCCACACTGTATAACTGCTTATAGGATGCAGCATATCTGCTTCCTGTTTCTCAGTGAAATGACCTGTCTGTCTGTCTGTCTGTCTGTCTGTCTGTCTGTCCAGCCTGGTTACATGGGGATCCCAGGAAGGTACTCCATCCAACAGACAGTTATGGCCAGTTCTGTGGTCAGAAGGGAACTACCAATGCGTAAGTCACTATTACACACTACACACCAGATCCCTTTAAACCCTGCAGGGACTTTTGTTATTAGGTCATTATTATTAATTGGTTATTATATAATTGTGTTGTGATATTAATGCCTGTATCTAATACCTAACTAGTGAGACCAGGCTGAGATTTAAATGCAGGTTTCTCAGAACTGTCAGTATAGACGCAGTGGTGTCCAGAGAGGAAGCCCCTTTCCACTAGAGAGATGGACAGTTAACGGCTGATCTTGAGTTATAGGTGAACATTTTACACAAGCAGTTTCTTTAGTAGCAATCAGATATTGTACAACATGTTCATGCTGCCAGTATCACATAATTGTTGCAGTCTGGACTGAAATATTTCAGGAGAATAGCTTATGATATGATATTATGATATTTTATCATTGCTTTAATTAGTTTTAGAGTGATTTTTTAAACTTCTGTTGATAAGGGTGTGATAGCCACGTTCCACACTCTGGGTACTCATAGTGCACTGCATTTTGCCAAAATGGTAATGGTATGCACTCAAAATAGTGTGATTGTGAGTACGAAAGAGCGCAAATTTGTACGCTGCAATGGCCACTTGTGGGTCTATTTTCAAGGCTGTTTTTACTTAAACATTCTTCTTAAGATTGAATACAAACATTCTAGGATGTTTGGTCTTTCAGTGAGCCTCCTCCCCAAATAATCTGCACAAAGTGGCCCTCAAATGACCATCAAAGTGCACATACCAGTAATAAACTGGGACATGTTCCATGGAATCTGAATTTACAGTTCTCTTCTTTCGCTTTAACGTACTAACAAATCATGCAACAGGTGGTAGATATATCCATACCAGCTTCCATTTATCTGCAGAATTTCTAGTCTCCAGTTAACAAGTTCAAGGCTGCACAATGGATTATGGGATATCCAAGGCTGCTAATAATACACTGGTTCTGTCCTCCAAATGCAGGCAAAATAAGGCTGCATTCCTTGGCTGCATTTGAAGGAGTCTTTGATATGGGACAGAACTTATCAACCTGCTGTGATGTATTCTGGCCAAAAATGCAGACTTCAGAAGATCCAATCCCTGAATTAGGACACATATTTTCCATCTCTGTTTGGGAGGAAACCAAAATTATAGTAGTACAAGCATTTGGCAGTTTTAATACCCATTCTCTTTGTCTCTTGTAAACAATTAATTCAATTCAATTCAGCTTTATTGGCATGAATGTCAAACAACAATATTGCCAACGCTTAAAATATGATACAAAAGAAAACAACAGTAAAAGTGTGTGTGTGTGTGTGTGTGTGTGTGTGTGTGTGTGGTGTGTGTGTGTTGTGCGCACGCCCGCGCCTTAGGTCAAAAATATGTAGAAGTAATTTTATGTTTAGGATCAATAAAGAAATATATTAATTGACAAAAACCAAATACAAAATCACTATCAAAGAAAAATAAATAAAGTATCAAATGTAAAAAAACAAACAAACAAAAAAAAACGTGAAGTTTTAATCCTTTTTTCGAGGAACAATTACTAGGAACAATGAAAATAATTATAATTAGAAAATTTTACAGTACAAGTATTTAATATATCAGTCTAGTCAATTATCTCTTCAATATCTAAATCTGATGCTCAGCATTGTGCCTGATACCGTTCAATTCTCCATGGGACTGGTCCAAAAAGAAACTTCTCCTTAAAAAACTGATGCAACTATAGTAATAAGTGAAACCATCTGGTTCACCAGGCTGCAGGAGAGTGATAAGGGTGTGTGTCAGAGGATTCACTGGGATGTGTGACTGAGAGATACAGACAGAGAAACCCTTAAAACCTGAAGAATCAACAAACACACAGTTCATTTCTCTTGTTTGTGTTGCCATCTACTGGTGATTCATGTTGAAGAGATTTATTTTTTTTTCCATACAATAAGTGACACAGCTGATGAGCCACTGATATTAAAAAGCCTGGATTCGTCTTGATAGTTCAGAGGTAACAATATCTTCAGGAAGTGTAATCAAAAGAATATATGCATGTTCAGATTTGACTGAGTTATGATTTTAAGAAGGAGTAAAAATTTAACTACTGGAGTCCTATGATTAGCTCAGGCCTTTTCACTGCTCGTGTTCAAAGACAAGCCATCTTGAAAACTGGAGTTCTTAACTATCTTGTTGTTTTTTAGTGTATTTTCTTATTGCTTTAAATAATTGCCTAACGTAGAAGGTTACAAAATCACATAAAAAAAATACCAGCGTGGGTATATGTGATAGCAGGTCATGATTCATTTTTATATTACGTATATCTACAGTAAACGTTTTTCCCCCTCAAGACAGTCCAGTTTCCATACACACAGCATGGTCAATATAATACTACTACTACTACTACTACTACTACTACAAAGTGCTTCATAGAGAGAAAGATTAAAAAAATACCCCAGTGAATGACATAATACATTAAGAAATAACAACAAATAAAACATTAAAATAAGCAGGATAAACAATAAAGTGAGAATAAAAACAATAAAATAAGCAGGTAGCTCAGATAAAATAAGGATTTGCTTTCAGATAAAAGTTCGGTTTTAGAAGAGACTTAAGACACTGACTCCGACAGCCTAATTTCCTCGGGCAGGTCGTGTTAGAGCCTCCGGGTTGTCACCAAATTGCAAGATATGTTGCTATTTAGCCTCTCAAACTCTTGATGTTTCTAGGTTGGTTTGAATTTAGACTAACAAAAGAGAAAAAAAACAGGCGGTGTCCAAAATAGTATGTTGTACCTGTTCCAATACCTCAAAGAAGAGAAAGAGAAACAATATTTTGTGCACTATTCCATTAACTGGATATGGTGCTGCATTCAGCGTTCATGCTTTGTAGAAGCTGCAGGATCTCCAGTATAATTTTAAATACATTTCTGCTTATTTCAACAATGGGTGGCTGCAAACATAAGTTTTTAAGGCTGAGGCACCAGCAGGTGTTTCAGAAGTTAACAGTGAAGTAAACAGTGACAAAGGGACCACAATCATGGCTAGACTTTCACAAGACTTTAAACTTTAAAGTTCTTCTACTCTGCTTTGATATAAAGCAACACTCTCTGCTTGGGGTTGCACAAAGGAACAAATTCTGGGTTATGTAGGAAATCATTACCTGAAAGGAAGCAGAAAGTGCAGACTAGAGAAAAGTCAAATTACAGTATTTAATCACAAAATAATTCCTGACTCTTAACATTAACACTTTTTTTGCAGGAAGAAACCCATCCTTTTCTATTTCAACATCTTGAAATGTACCAACCCGACTATACTCATCAACCTACAGTGCCCCACAACTCAGGTACTCTATTAACAATGAATGATGCATTTATCTGCTGCAGTAACAGGGCATCAGTTTATCACGGTCACATCTGCTGCACCTGATTTATCATGTCAGTTTAAGCTGATGAGTATAGGATTGAGACACTCTTTACTTCAAACACTGTAGAACAACACAGATATATTGAACATTGCTCATTAACTTAAACAACATTGTTGTTGTCAATAAAAAAAGTTCTTGTTACTGAAAGTAGCTTAATGTTTACAAGTTGACTGCAAACTTGCATTGATAAATTATCAGTTTGATCCATAGATGTAATCCCATAACAGTAGTAATTAGCTTCCCTAAATAAATTAACAATCTGTCTGTGTGAAATTTCTATTTTAGATGTGTGTGTCAAAGTGCCCAGACAAGTTTGCCACCTACACTGAGATGCAGTTGCAGCACAAACTCGGCAAGAGTTCCTGGGAATATTACAGACAGTTCTGTAAGCCTGGCTTTAACAACCCTGACAAGGTACCAGTACTGATACATGAAATACATGTCCCTAGAAAAACTTCTCTGCATCTTTGCTGGTGATGTAGTCCTGCTGTAAACCCGAATTCCCCCTTTTTAAACATGAGACCAAATAAAATACTTTTTTTTGTCGTCTTTGTCTTCTACACAAAGACCAAAGGACCAGAAAACAATTACATACTATTATTCTAACCCTTCTGTCTCTCCTCTGTTTCTTCCAGCCAGTGTCTCAGGTTCTACGAGATGAGGACTGTCCCTCCATGATTGTACCTAGCAGACCATGTAAGGATGAGACACCTCTCTCTCCAACAATTTCAACAAATTATGTCAGAATTAGAATTTTTCCCCATGATTTGGGGGGTTTTTTTGCTGACCAAAATCATTCCAATAACCTGTCCATGTGCTCCATCATATAAATCTGATTACATTTATACAATTGATGGAATTGCTCATCAGCTAAAATGTTTTGTTTAAATTGTTATGAAATTTTTTTTTCATTTATGTTATTGCTTACTTATTCATTTATTGATTTGTATTCATACTTATTAATCTATCTTCTATTACATATTATTCATTTCTTCACCCGGTCCATAACCAGCGACTCCCTAAAATAGAGTGACACCTGGAGGAAGCAACCTCCTTTGGGTCTGTGGGTGGGGGGACAAACATATCCAAACACAATTAAACCAAAATAGATAAATAGATAATCGATAAAAGAATGATAGAATAAATTGGAAAGTGAAAAATAAATAAATCGAAAAAACTCTGACCTGTCCCAGTTCCACCCAGACACATCTTCATCTCCCTAGAAATATTTTTTTCTCTTCCTTCTTCTCTCTCTCTTCTCCTATATCATTACACACACAATTCCCATACAGTTCTAAATGTCAAGTCTCCTTGATATTTTTAACAATAATGCACTCATATATAATAATGTAAGAACATGTATGTCTTTGTGTGTGTGTGTGTGTCTGTGTGATTCAGTTCTCCAGAGATGTCTACCAGACTTCATCACGCTGAATGGGACCGTGACTGTAGCAAACAGAACCAGGTTTAAAGACGCTCTGGAAATGGCACGCAGTGTTACTGAACTCCAACATGCTGCCAAGTACTGTAACTTCTTCTTTTACATATCTTTAAAACGTCTCTTTTGCTGATTAGTCAAGATCACTCAATAGTACCAACAAACTAACTGCACTGGTGACATACTGTCTAGCTACAGGGACTAGCTACAAGTTTGTATTTTAACTTCCAGATGTGCAAGAAAAAATACAGTTCATAGTTTGTTAGGCAGTGAAGTGGTGGTTGAGGAAGGGAGCATTTAAGATGTTTGCATTAGAAAATTAATAGTGATATGTGTGAACATTTTCTTACAAATATAAATTCCATTGTACAAGAGGTCAGATATTTTGCTGAAAAATAACTCATCAAGACCTTACCTAGTCAGCATCTAGGGGATTCTAAAAATACTGTGTTGTCTTTAATATAACATCGAAGGGACCAGTCTCTGTTTTCTCTCTGTGTTCAGGACCCTTTTAATTTCTAGTCAAATTCCTACTTTTGCATATTAACCCTCATTTCTCTCTCCTCCACACAGGGGTATAACAGAACTAATGGACACTAAGGAGCTGGGCATGAAGATAGTGGAAGATTACGCCAAGTCATGGGCATGGATACTCATGTAACTACACAAACAACACACACAAAGAACAGCAACGGTCGAAGGGAGAGGGATGAAGGGGTCGAGAGAAGAGATGAAGGGGTCGAGAGAAGAGAGATGAAGGGATCGAGGGGAGAGGGATGAAGGGGTCGAGAGAAGAGAGATGAAGGGGTCGAGAGAAGAGAGATGAAGGGGTCGAGAGAAGAGAATGAAGGGATCGAGGATAGAGGGATGAAGGGGTCGAGGGGAGAATGGTTCATTGATGTTTCACGTTTGTTCCATTAAACAGATATGTCATAGTGCTTCACAAATTGTCAAAATTTAAAGTTGTAATCCTTAAAATTTCACTCCTGATCATCAATAACACAGCAAACAAGCTGGTGTATCTGTTTGTAGTGCAGCCAAACAAACTTAGGTTGTTTTGGTAAAGCAGTCTATGGAACCCTTTAGAGTATTTTACTAAAATTATAATGTAAACCACAATAGCATTATAATTTTCCACATGTGTTATGGGAATAAAAATGTATATGAAAATGCAATAATCCAATTTGCATTTGCAATAAGTGAAACAACGCCCCCAGTCTAGCGCATTTAAGATGCATTTACATGTCACGGATCTTTAGTTAGGACATCAATTTCTCGTCAGTGTTGGGAATAACGCGTTACAAAATTAGCGCAATTACAGTAATGTATTGCTTTTTGCTGTAATGCAGTACAAAAGAAAAATCTGTAATATTATTTAGGGTTAAATTGCAACGCATTTTAACCTGAAATGAAGTGGTGTTTTGTTTTTTTAATAACACCGACAAACATTTCAGCGGCAGAAAATCAAATGAGTAAAAGAGTAATGTTATTTCCTGTTGCGGGAATCCGATGGTCGAGATTGTTTGCATGGTGCGAACCACAGGGGATGATGGAACATGCGTAAATAGATTTTTATGTTTGTGCTTTTAACAATTACTTTCATGATCAGAGAGGCTGCTGTCAGTTCATCCTGACCAATCCTGTCGGAGATTCAAATATGTTGCTGTACCTCTAGTAGCATCTTTCTTAATGGGGAGACAATTTCCCCCCTGACTCTGCCACTATTCCACCAATAAAAACTACTATATAGAGAGATAATTACAGAATGTAAATACAATGGCCATTGTAGAAAAAATGACGACGATGACAAAAACGGGATTTGATTTTCATTCAATATTAAGGATTATAACTTTTTAATGGATGTTACAGCAATAAAGTGAACCTATATTATATAACTTTGCAACTGTTGAAGTAATGTGCATGATATTTTTGTCTTTGCCTGAAATCATTTAGTTTTGGAAGAGTCACTGTGAGATGAATCATGTGAAGATTGTTGAATGTTTCAAAATCTGAACAAATTTCACATGACAAGGGTTATTTCAAGTTTCAAGTTCAAGTTGCATCTACATACATAACTGTATTATTTAAGATTGTATTTAAGATGTTTTTAACTCTCTGAATTTGTGTTCAGAGGTCTGCTGTTATCCTTGGCTGTTAGTCTGGTCTTCATCCTGCTGCTGAGGTTCACAGCTGGTTTGCTGTTGTGGACTACCATCATCGCTGTCATCCTGCTGCTGGCATACGGTGTGTACTTAGGGTTTTAGAAGGATGGTGAGAATGGCTAGAGAACAGCGATCTGGTGGAAGTGTGAGCAGAAGTGGTCTGAGTT